AGCTACGTGGGCCCTCTGGTTAGAATGAGTGAGGCCTGGTTGGTGGCCAGGATGAGGGGAGGAAGCACTTTGGGCCATTGTGGGTGTGGGGCACACGATGGGGGGTGGCTGGACCGGCTGGAGCTGAGGGTCAGTGGGAGGAGGGGGAGTCTCGGGGCAGGCAGGGGGCCCTGGTAGTGTCGATCCAGGAGTGCACGTCATCACCACAACCCTCGCTGGTTTTAGTGCCAGTGCTCCTCTTGGTGAGCACGTCGGTATGTGTGGACGTGTACACCTGTTCCACTGTCTCAAGCACACGCAGGTGTGTGTGCACACCTGGGGAGTCTCCCGTGTCTGCAAGGTGTGTGTGTGCACACCGGAGTCGGTGGTGTGTGTGCACACCTGGGGAGTCCTTGCTGTCTTCTGATGCCTCCTGTCCCAGGCCATGTGGGTTCACTTTGCAGGGCTCTGGCTCCGAGTCCGTTCGCAGAGCACAGGGCTGGAGGGAGGCCATCAGGGAGACCAGTGTTTGTGGTCCCACAGTCGCAGGGAGGCCCCCGCGCGTCTCCTGCTGGCAGCGTCCTCTGAGCGGCACAGAAATGTTTGCAGGCAAAGCACATCCTGAGTGACCGCAGGAAGGAAGATGCTTCGGACCATCCAGCCTGGCCTGCTGACTCTCCCATGAAGGACCAGGACAGCAAGTTGGGTGGGGCCGCGGGGGCACCTCAGTGCATGTGGCATTGAATGGAGCTTCATTTTCCCTACTCCTCACCTGGTAATTGTCACCTGAGGGCCCATTTTCCTAGATTGAGCTGTCATTCCACTCCGGGCTGCGTGCCTGATGCCGCCCCTTCAAATGAAGCCCCTCGCTTGGCCATGTACATGTATTCCTGTCATCCGTTCAAACTCTCGGAGATAGAAGGGTGCTGGGCTGAGACCCTGTGCTCTGCTACTCTGAGCACACCTGTGCTCAGATACGGGACGGAGCCTTGTGTCACCTCCGTCCCGAGGATTTGCAGGGACGTTCTGTGGTCACACGGGACATTCAGGGGTGGGGGTGGAAAGGGGGTAGAGTGGGCAGTCCCACATCGCTGGGGCCACCACACAGGTGTGTTTCCAGGGTGTCTGCCCAGTGCCCGGGGGCACGTTCTGGCAGCCGGGACCCCCTCTGCACAGACAGGATTTCTCTGGGCGACCCCTTTGAGCTGTTTCTTTCAGGCGCGTTCCGCTTGCCCATCCCCCGGTGGACCGTGCTGGCTCCTCTCTGGGGTCTACCGTCTGGTGGGTTAAATTTGCACGTTCTGTTCCACTTTCTGGAATTCTAGTGTTCTAAGTCCACTGGCTCTGTAAACAATTCGTATTCACCCTATGAATTTTTTGACAACTAGCAGACTACCTCCTCGGTCCCACTGTTTCCTCCGCACTTTGATGCCTTTGTAGATAACACGTTCACCCACTCGTCATCTGTGCGGGTTGAGCGACTAGCTCTGGTCTCCGACTGGCGTCCCCTCCAGGCTCACGTGACTGACCCTGAGCACGACCTCACTCATCTCTGTCGTAGATCGAGGAGGAGCACCCCAAGTGCAACACTTCAGGCCCTGCTGTCTCTCGGGTGACCATCAGTCCGCATTGTGGGGGCCCCCTCGATGCTGCCTTTCAGACCCTTGCCCTCCCCAGCGCCCACTGAAGGCTGGAGCCTGGGCGCCCAACAGGCCCCTTCTTGGGGAATAGGCGGTGGAAATGGGCGGGAAAGGAGGACAGAAGGTCCTCCTGGTTCAAGGGCAAGCGACTGCTTTTTGATTGTGAAATTACACAGAAAACTACCCTGAGAAGCCGCTGACAGAGAACGCACCAGGGCCCTCCCTTGAGAGAGGGGTGAACAGAGGCGCGTCCTTGCGGGTCTGGGGAGGGGCCCGGGTCAGTTTCCACACGCGGCCCTGCTAGGAGAGGTGTTGCCGTGAGGCTGGAATCAGTTGTTAGTAATAAAGAGTCCAGGGCTGGAGAGCCGTTTGGGGTTTGAGGGGCTTTTATGCCCATTGTCCTTGATTTACACGGTAACTCTTGTCAGCTAGGTGGGACTCCTTTAATAACTTACGTTTTAATGATTTTCAGCGTGATACGTTTTGACATCTTCCTGTGTATTCACACATTTGTTCCGTTCACACACGCATCACATCTGCTCGTGTCCGTGTGCGGGGCGGCTGGTGCCGTGGCCAAAGCCCACACCCACACGGCGAAAGCCTGACCACCGCCCCGGGCCGCACAGGAGCCTGCGGCTGGGTCGCATGGGCGGCGCCGGAGGGGCGGACGAGCTGCCCCGTCCAGGTCTCACCTGGCTGCATTCATCGGCCTGGCCTGGGAGGCCGGCAGGGAGGCACCGAGCAGGGAGCCCCCAGGCTGGCTGCAGGTGCGGTGGGGGCCGGCATCAGGCTCCGTGGTCCCAAGTGCTGGGAGTCCAGGGGAGCTGCTGGGGCGGGGCCCGAGGAGGCAGGGTCTGTGCCCTCGGCGGGGGTCTGTGAAGCAAGGCTGTGTCCTGGCTGGGGTCTGGCCTGGGGTACGTGGGCTGCGTAGGTGAGGGTGGCCCTGGTTCGCTGCAGGCCTCATCACGTCCCGTCACTCGCGTCTGCAGATGCTGGTTGTCCACCCGCCTGCACTGCGTCTGGGGGGCCTGGTTACAGGAAGAGCGGCCCATCTGAGAGCCGCGGGGGCAGGGGCACCAGAGCTCTGCCACGAGGGCCTCCAAGGCCCTGCTGTGTCGCTGGTGCCCACGTCCCGGATTAGGGCTCTGCGGCTGTCGTTCTTTCTCCACATCTGACTTGTAGTGAACACGCCTTCCTGGCATTGCTGCTCTCCTGTTCCTGAGTCTGCACATAGCACCGTGGCCTTTCCCCCACGTGGCTCGAGGTCCCTGCACACTTGGTTTAGACACAGGCCTTCTTGGGGCTCTGGGCTGGCTGATGAAAAGCGAGCTCCAGCCTGCAGCTCCGGGTGGACAGGCAGGGAGTGATGATGAAGACACAAAGGTTCCAGGTGGACCCCTTCCCCCGTCGGTGTCTCACCTTCTCGTGGGCCCGAGCGTGGGCTCTGCGAGATGCCCAGGGGGGTTTCTAAGTCAGGTCGGGTGACGAGGTAAAAGGGTCCACTTCCACACCACGTGCACACACTGACCTGAAAATGTGTTCTAATTTTACAGCATGATGTGAAAAGCCCCTGTGTTAGGAGGCTTGTAGGACTTGTCTGTCCTTCCTGGAAGGGTCCCCAGCCCTGGGCATCTCGCTCTTTCCCGGGAAGCGGGATGGAGGGGCAAAGGCCCTGATCGCAGACCCGCGTTGGGCCTCTCCTTTCTCACTTTAGGGCAGAACAGCACCCTGCAGGTTGGCAAGAGATCTAGAACAACGGGTGAGGCGTGGAGAGCAGGCCCGGCTGTGGGTAGAGAGCCTCCTGCAGAAACCGGCGTCCCTAGGAAGAAGTCCAGTTCCTGTCCCCACTGAGAGAAGGTGGTGGGGGGCGGCTTGGTGCCGTGGCTCCTTACCAGCCTCCCCTTAAGGGCGGGAGTGTCCATCCCGCTGTGGCTGCATGTGCCCGGGACACCCCAGGACAGTTGTGGGGCAAGCGGCAACTCCTGACGCCAGCCCGCTTCTCTGTCTCTACCTGAGGCCTCCAAGGGCCCTCGACTCCTCCTTGCTGGCTCTGTCCCTCCGGATTCCTGCTTTAGCCATTCTCTGAAGGCCGCTTTCCCCAGCTGCTCCCAGCTCAGATGCTCAGTGTGGGCTCTGTCCGTTAGGATATGTCCACAGGAGAATTTCCTTCCCACGGCTTCTCCATCTCACATGCTCCTGGGTCACCTCCTGGTGCCACGACACACCCGTGGCCTCTCCCAAGCCTGCAGGCCCCCCTGCACCCTCCTGCCCAGTCCTGGTTTCCTGGATCCTGGTTGGCTCCTCCTTGCACCCTGCACCCCATCGGCTCTTGGAGTTGCACTGACCCTGGATGCTTCCCTACTCACCCCTGTGCATGTCCTCCTCCTACGAGGACTCCAGTGACATTGGATTCGGAACCACCCTGATGACCTCCTCTCAGCATGACGGTCAGCAGTGACCTCTTTCCACGTAAGGTCACATTCTGAGGTTCTGGATTTAGGACTGAACATGCGAAGCTTGGGTGACAGCTCAATCCACAGCAGCACTTGTCTTTGCCGCCCATGTGCTGCTCGAATGCAGGCCCCCGGAAGGCAGGGCCCGGTCTGTTTGTTGCTGCACCTAGCCCGTCTCCTGTCACCTTGGCCAAGGGCACGAGAGGTCGGCCGGGATGACGGCGGTGGCTATGCACCAGCTTTTATATGACGACATAACGGAATATTCTCTGGAATGCTGCTAATAGGGTTTCACGGGCCGGCGTGGCTCACACAGCTGCGTGTTGGGATTCAGGACTTGTCGCTGGAGCTCTGAGCCGCACGGTTACGGTGGAGCCGGGCCCCCTGCGGGCCTGGGGCGCATCGTCCTGGAGCACCCCGCCCCCCAGGGGGTCACTGCGCGGTGCCCCTCTGGTCTCCATGGTTACCTTCAGATGTGTCCCGTTCACATCCCTCTCATGGCACATCGCTCATTTTAGAAACAAGCCCATTTAAAAATGTGTTTCCTTTGTACATTTGACGCCCATCCTGAAACTCGATTTTCAGCATCTGCTTCCCCTCGGTCTCCCATCTTTTCTCTCTCCTTCCCGTCTGGCCTCCCCTCCACCCCCCTATTATATTTTTTATTGAAGGCTGAGCTGAGCCGTGGCTGCATCACGGGCCCATTACACTTCTAACAATTCCATTTGCACTGTATTGTTTGTCTCATTGCTGGGAAATTCAGGTGATTCATCATGCCTGAAGAAGCACCTGATCCCAGCTGCCCTGAGAGCCTGGTCACTATGTGACAGGAATGCACAGACGCTGAGGTGGGGGCAGGGGGGATGCGCAGCTTCTCAAGTGTTGATGAGTTCCATTTTGTAACGCTGCCCCCCGCTCTCCTCAACAGCCCCCTGAGCCCAGAGAAGGGGAAGGAGCTGATGGAGAGCATCGCGCGGCTCCTGGAGGTGCCGATGAGTGTCTTCCCAGACATCGCGTGAGTGCCGGGTGCGGGGTCCGGGGCTTTTAGTCTCCACTCACATCAGGTTCCGTTTCATAATTGGTTTGCAAGGGAAAGAACGGTGTGCTTGGGGTTCTTGTTAATTACACCAGAAACAGTTCAGGAGAGAGATGGGAGGAAAATTCCAGGTGGGTTTGGTAAGTTATTTAAGTGCAGCTGAAACCGGACTGTAATTGTGAGAATTATAATCTGCTGGAAGGACAGGGCCCACTGGGGCTGCGGTGCTCAGCCCTGCTGCACCTAGAATTGCCTGGGAGGCTCTAGAACATTCCGGTGCCTGGGCCCCACCCCGCTGCAGATGAGTCCGAGCCCAGGGATGGTGCGTGTCCATGAGAAGTCAGCACTTAGGGAGTGCCTCCAGCCTGCACACCCTGCCACGTACTTGCCGCACCACGTCCCCCGAGCACGACCAGCCTCTCTCGTCATCAGGGGCAGGCTGGAGGCAGATTCGGTGGCGCTGGAGACCGGGGGGAGGTCCGGACGCGGAGGTCAGCCCAGAGAGCCGTCTCGGGACGGATCAGTGGTGTGTTGTGAGCCACTCAGGCCTGGAAATAAGAGGCTCAGCCGAGCTATCTGTTGATGCAGACGGCTGGCCCGGGGCCTTCAGTCCTGGAAATACAGTATGACCGTTGGCAAGTCTTGCCACTCGGTGGGACTGTCTAAGCTCTTTCCCTGTGGCTCTTAGCTCATTTGGAAGTTCATCATCCTTTATCTTGAGTAGAAGGGAGCCAGAAGTTGGGAGAGAGGGGCCAGGCCGAGTCCTCGTCTTAACAGTAAGCCCAGATTCACTTCCTTGGGCTCCTTGCCGCTGACGACGGTCTAGCCCGTCTCTCCGACTAATGAGGGCTCCTGTATCATCTCTGCACCAGCAAACGGGACCATCTACAAGATGCAGCTTTTCTTTCTTTCTTTCTTTCTTTCTTTCTTTTTTTTTTTAAAGATTTTACTTATTCATTTGACAGAGAGAGAGGGAACACAAGCAGGGGGAGCGTCAGGCAGAGGGAGAGGGAGAAGCAGGCTCCTCGCTGAGCAGGGAGCCCAACCTGGGGCTCAATCCCAGGACCCCGGGATCATGACCTGAGCCAAAGCAGACGCTTAACCAACTGAGCCACCCAGGCGCCCCAAGACGCAGCTTTTCATTCAACAGATGTTTACAGAACACCGGGCCAAGGTGGAGCAGAGAACATGACATTCCAGCAGAAATGGGCACAGAGCAGAGCTGGTAAAGTTCAGGCAGCCCTAGTTCACGTGGAAGCAAAGGGCCAGAGGCTGTGAGGTCTGGAGAGCAGGTGCCCGGCTGCCTCGAGGCAGGAGGGACTGTGTGCCCCACGTGAACAGGCAGGGCAGCTCGGGTGGGCCCCAAGGCCCTTGTGAGGAGTGTGACATTCCTTCCGTGGGCTGGCAAGCCACCAGAGACTTTACATGAGGAGAGCATGTTTCTCTTACAAGGACACAGGAGGAGGCTCAAGTGCCTTGGGGCCGCTGAGGTTTCTAGATGAATGTTGGTTGTCCCGACCCCATGCCAGATGGGGTTTCGGCCTTGGAGAGGTAGTCACGAATGTGGGAGGAGCTGAGAGATTGGGAGACACCCACATGTGACTATGTCATTACCCGGTCAGCTGAGCCACACACCGGCCCCGTGGGAGCAGCTTTTATTCCAGCCTGTCATTTCAGACGCCCTTGAGAACTGTCCTTTGTCCAAGCACATTCCCTCCCATGCAGAACCGCATGCCAGGTGTATGCAGGCGTCTGCGGAAGGGGCATGGCTGCTGGACTCGGGAGTTCAGCGTGAACACAGGAGGCCCACCCAGGCCTTTTGCCCAGGGCATGTGTCTCGGGTGCCGTTAAACAGATCGCACGCAGAGAGAGCCAGTCCTGACCTGGTGGCGCCGACCGTTCCCTTCAGAGAAGCAGAGGGAAATTTCCCCAGTATGCCTGCACCCCACACGTGGCTAGTCATCTGCAGTCTTCACCTCTGGACCCCAAGGTCGGGGGTCACAGCGGTCCCTGACACGTTCACATCAGGCACCCAGCACAGGACTTGCGGAGTTCGGGCCTGGCACCCACACTGCGCCCGCCAACCAGGGCGGGGCGGTCCTCGCCCCTCCGTCCACAAGTAGGAGACACTGAATGTGGCCCACGAAATTCAGCTGCTGGTGCCAGGGACATGTTGCTGTTGAGGGAGTGAATGAATGAATGAGTGCCTCCTTCATTAGAGGGAAGAATGTCCCGGGAGTGATTGGAAGGCAGTAAACAACAAGACTTCACATCTCCAGGGGGAGCTCTGGGAGGGGCCGGGGTGGCCTGAGCTTCTGGAGAATGTTAACACAGCTCAGACCCGTTATTGAGAACATTAGACAAAAAAGTAATCACACGGAGAGGCTTCAGAGTAAAACGTGGCCTGGCCCCACTGGCGACTGTATTTATTGAATTTTCATTATTTCCCTCTGCGCTCTGGGGTGAGTGAGCACCAGATAGAAGGCAGAGGTCCCCGCACACAGAGGCCTTGCACTTCCTGGAGCCTCGGCCCCCCGCCGCTGCTTGCTTGTTGGAAGTCGGGGTGTGTGTACCTCGTGACCTGGGCTCCATGCTGCTGAGAGAGAGGGGTTTGGGAGGAGGGGTGTCCTCGGGACAGGCGGGAGCACGGTGGGCTGGGAGCCTCAGGAACAGCCGTGGAGCTCTCCAGCCCGAAGTGGGTCAGGTGGGTGTGACCCAGAGCCCACCACCGAGGAGGGGAGCTGCCCTTGGGCTAGGCTGGAAGCCCCCATGGTGGCCTGCCTCATCACCCACCCCCAGGGGCAGGCCCCGCACATGAGCCCCCCGAACGCTGTAGGACTGAGCCTTTCACATAACTGGCGGCCACTGACCACGTGTCCACGACTTTTCCAGCAGTGAGAAGTTTCCTGTTGAAGGAAGGTGTCTCCCAGAGAGAATGGGACACGGGTGTCCGAGGTCAACAAGCATGTTTAGCCCATCTTCTGTCCTGCCCCACGGTTTCTGCATTGCCCACCTGTCACCTCCCTTTCTCCACATCCTCAGCCAGGCTCATTGGCCTCTAAGAGTCTCAGGGCAGTGGTGGGAGGCCCAGAGGCCAGGGCGAGGCCAGGCAGGCTTCCGGACAGGAGAGGCCTCTGGTGCGGGCTGGGGGTGGGGGTGTCAGGACTGGAGGGGCTTCTGGTCTGGGGGAGGGGCATCTTCTGGAGGGGGCATCCAGCGGGAGGGGTGTCTGGTTGGGGGAAGTCTGATGGGAGGGGTGTCAGGACCGGAGGGGCTTCTGGTGTGGTGGTGTCCATGTCGGGGGCTG